GGGCCGCCGCGCAATGGGCGAGGCCACATTCGAGCGGCAGAGGCGCACAGGGCCATCTGCCACGCCACCGATCATCAAAGACGGTGATTCACGAAGTGTTCGATCTGTCTTGAGGAGTCTGAATGCCGCGACAAGGTACGGGGGACCCAACGCGGCCACATATTTCACGCAGTCTGTTGGGGCAGAGTGGCCCAGTTAAATGCCGACCGACAGATTGAAGGGGTCTCGAACGAAGCCCCGTGCGCTGTGCGCCGAGGCGTGGGGCTGACCGCAGCTGGGTCTCGCTGCGCCCTCGCGGGCAGGCAGGGCGCCGAGAACCGACGCGAGGAGATGCTCCGCGGGGCGAACGAACTCAGGGACCTCAGTGAAGAAGTGAATAGGATCACGGCCGCCATGGCTGGGCCCACGGCGCCAGCCGGGACGCCCGCGGCTCCTGCGGGGCAACCTGCTGCACGCAATGCGCCGATGCCTACGGTCATGCCACCGCCGTGCGCGCGGCCAGAACCAGCAGCAGCGATGCCAACCGCAGACGCGCAGATGCCGCCGATAGCTGAGCCAGCTGCCTCTGCGGGGACACCTGCTGCATCTGCACCTGCGGGGCCACCTGCCAACGAAGCGTGGCTCAGGCGCATGGAAAGAGCTAACGCGCCTCGCGCGGCAGAATGCGGGGTGGCCCGCTACGCCCGCGCCGAACTGACAGCCCAGTCAGCGCGCGCAGTGGCGCCAGCGCCATGTCTGCAACGTGACACGTTGCAGACGGCATTGATGCTCAACACGGACGGCCAGAATGCAGTGCGCGCCGGTAAGGACACCTTTGAGAACCCCCACTGACGCAGCAGTATCCTACATATTACATATGGTGAACACCCTTCCGATTGGATTCTCCAACGATATCCAGTCACGGAGGTAGAAGAACGAGCATGCACGAGTGCATTCACATCCAGGAGGAAGAACGGGTGGGCATTGGACCGAAGGCGCATCAAGGGCGCGCGCGCGCCACAACAGTGGCCACCGTCCAGGGCCTCTTCGGGGACCGTCATGCGTTGGCCCTAGCAGCGACTGGCGAGACCATGATCGATGGGATGTTGACTATCTTGCTTGACACTGGTAGCAACTTAAACGTCGGTGGTCTGACAACTGCTCAAACATTCGAGCGGGTTTCGCGCGCCCACGGTCGCGACATAAGGAGATTGAGCCTGAGCAGACCATAGTGCGTGACCGGATTGGGCGCTGGAGCTGCAGTGCGCAGGACGTCAGGCCATTGCAAAATTGCCTGCGCATATAGGGTCAACCCTGCGGGGCAACCTGCCATCGCCAAGCTGGACACTTATTCAGCCAACGTGGCCCAGGGGCCCAGAGAAAACTTGCCCGCAATCCTGGGCCTGAGGAGCATAGCAAACATGCGTGCCATCCTGAGCCTTGAGAATGGCAAAGAAGATATGACCATCCCAGGCATGGACATGTACAGGCTCCTCCTTGGAACAGGCGCTAGGGTGGTTGATCCAGTAAAAACACCATCAGGACACCTAGCGATCAAGGTTGACGAGCATGACGTGGCGACGGAGGTCGATGGAGCCACAGCATTCACCATACCGTCACCCCTGCGGCACGTCATCGAGGATACCGTGGATGCAGAGCCTACTGCGGGGCAACCTGCTTCAAGCAGCGCGGGGTTGCTTGCTCCTGTGGATGCCCGCGCGTTCATGATGTCACAGGACACAAGGGGCATTAGCCAAAGCATCAATGTGGAGACATTTCGATTCGCGATCAAGGCCATGGTGGACAACGCTTTGAAGACCTGGTGGAACCGGAATACCGCATGGGGCACCAAGCCTACGGTTCTGGATCAGGACTTCGCCGCGAGGGTGTCGCAGGCGAAGGTGTACCAGACCATCTACGACGAAGGCGCCGAGCGGGCGCCGCCTGAGGCCCGCGCGCGGCAGCCTGGTACTGCGCGGCAACCTGCTGCAGCGAGCGGCGCCGTCGAGAGATATGATAGCTACACCTCGAGCAGTGCGTCGCCGATCTAACCGGGTGATTCCGTGGCCGACAGCCCGGACACAGACCCGAAGCAGGCGGCCGCGCGGACGCCCCCTACGCTCGAGAGTAGGTGACGGGGGCAGGCGAGTGCCACGGCAATGCTCGCTTGCATGGACAGGCCGACGCCTGAGGTCCTGTCAACAGGCGCGGGGGCACCTGCTTGCTTTTCCCAGGCGCCGGCTGCGAGCGCCAGGGGCGGCAGCGAGCCCCGCGCGTTTGCCGCGTGGGCCGCTGGGGGAAAGGATCGTTCATCGCATCATTATCATTATCGTACTCCTGTCATCGAGGATCAACGAACAGCTCGCGCTGGTCTCCAAGCCCGCGGATACATGTGCGACCGTATAACGCGCGCAGTGGTCATGAGCTCCGCGGGTACACAATACTTGGGTAGTCCAACGCCCGCTGATCGGCATGTGCGACTGCCTGGTAAGCGGGCGGGGCCACGCTATCAGCGCACCCAGAAGCTCATGGTCACAGCTCGGGCCTCGCGCGTGTCGATCGTGCTCATGGGGCCCCCAGGTCACCTTGGAAACTAGGGCCCATGCGCGATGCTATCGAAGACTTCGGCCTACAAGTCATGCGAATGCGATGCTGTCATGTCGGTCTTAGGTTCGATCGCTCGAGTTGTTTGCCAAATGGCTCTTACTTACAGGTGGCGACGACGTGCGCGCGCATCCCAGCCAACCCGCGCAAATGCACGCGCCGAGCTGCGGGGGGGCCTGCCGAACGAGCAGAACATGAGTTAGATTGGCGCGACCAAGGCACCCAGAGGGCGGAATGGCGGAACAATACAATCGCCATCATGACCGCACGCTTGCTCAACCAAAGTGATACACATAAAATGCAGAGGAACGATACAAGCGCTGTACATCTCAGCGTACACACCCGAGAAGATAAAAGGTTCTCGGACTTACATCCGGTCTCCTAAGAATGGCCCTCAATGGGACCATGTGGCGCGCTGGGCAACTGCAGCCCTTGGCGACAATCCTATCATACAAGATATCAAGGTTCACGCGGTAATGCGCGCACGAGAGCACGCGTGCGAGGCGTGGCATGCGCGCGCGCGTGCCTGAGAGCGCGCGTGGCTGTCCGCGTGCAGCGGTCGCCGTCGCAGTCGCCAGCGCACGCTCGTCGCCGCCCGACGCCCGCGAAATTCGCATGTATTGCGCGCATATGCGAATGCATATACATGCGCAAATGCCGCCCCCGAAGCCAGTGTGCTCGCAGTCGGTCCGCCGTGCGGGCCGCCGCGCAGGAACGGCGCTGGCGTCGCTTTTGTCAGAGCCTTTGCATATGCGCCGCACGGAATCAACGCCTCACAGGGGCCCCAACATCTCGTTGCCCTTCCGCTTGCAGGAGGGCGCGGCTGAAACCGCGGAGGCGCGCGCCCCGCCATGTGGGGCCTCCGTGCATTTCTGATTCCAGGGAAACCGTTTGTTCTGTCATGTTCTGCCATGTCGCGTGTCATATGTTGGCGGAAATCTGCGCGAACAGCTAGTTTTCGTAACGTGGAGCAACTCTACCAGGTTCTCCGCCGCCTTGATCTTCTTCGCCTTACTGTAGGAGCCAGCCTTCTTCCCGATAGCGCACACCTGGTGCTGGTGGCCGAAGGGTTCCCGCGCGGCGCTGCAGAAGTCACTCTTGTACCACATCGCGACGCATTTCCTCTTAGGGGGCGTCGTTGCGGCGAGCTAGGGCATGGCCGCGGGAGCTTCGATGTCCTCGACCTCGTCGGGCTCGGGCTGCCCCCCCCCCCCCCGTCGCTGTTTTCCTGCTCGGAAAGGGCGCGCCCCTCCTCGCGCCGAATCCCCGCAGGCTTCTTCGCGGCCGCGGGCCTCTTGAGCGGCGCGCCATGGCTCGCTTCTTCTTGAGCCACGTCTCGTACATGGCATTCGGCACCTCCGTTTCCTTGTCGCCGCTGCGCACCCTGGCCGCGCGCGTGCTCTCGGACCCCGGCGTCAACTTACACTCCGCGGTCGCCGCGCCGCGTTGCTCTATCAGGAGCATGCGCTCGCAGTCGACAGTGAAGATCTCCGCGTCGCCCTTCTTCTCGTCGCACTTCTCGCGCCGGTTCTTCTTGGGCGGCGGCAGCAGCGGCGGCGCCGCCTGGCGAAGACTCGATGCTGATGGGGTCGCTGCCGCGCGGCGCCAAGATCCTCGCCCCCTTGCTCAGCGGGATGCCCGCAAGAGCCTTCGCGCGGCGCGCCCTGTAGATCGACCTCGGGCTCATCGCGGACCCGCTGGCCGAGGCAGGGGCGCTCGCAAGTCTCGCGGGTGATCCGCTCTTGCCAGGGGCCCTCGTCGTCGAGATCTTTTTGCTACCTGGTTCCAGCCTTCCAGCTCGCCGATGCGCTTCACTGCGGGGCGCAACTTCGATCCGTCCACGGCCGTTCTCCATTCCTGGAGGGCGTGCGAAAGGGCAGCCGACAGCTGTCTCGCGCGCGTGTTGGCGTCACCCTTGGATGCCGAGCTTTTGGACGAGCGCCTCTCGCAATTGAGGCTCAGCAGTCCGACGAGCGCATTGTCCAGAAACCCCATATTGTTGGCGACGAGATCGCCCGATGCCCTCACCGTGCATTTTGGCTCAAGCGGTCGCACGGCGCCGCCCCGCGTCCTCGTCGGCGCGCGATGGCTGAGCCTAGAGGAGCCCCACCCGCCGGCGTTGCCGCCGCCATGATGGCTGCGGCCGTGCGCGCGGCGGCGCAGGCCCACGCGCCTCGCCGCGCCGTCGCCGCCATCGCGCGCTCGGCTGCCTCCGCCTCGCCGCTCGCGATGGCGCCGCGGCCTGAGGCGAGCGCCGGCGAGGCCGACGGCGGCGAGGACAAGGACGAGGACAAGGGCGTGGTTAAGGACAGGGGCACGGGGCCTCGGAGGGCAAGGGCCTCGGCAAGGTCCTCCGGAGGCGCCGCCGACGCCAGCGGCTGGCGGAGGCGAAGTGGGCGGCCGCTGCGGCGGGCGCCATGGGCGACGACGAGTTCAACGACGAGTGGGCTGATGACCTGCGGCGCGATGCGGCCCTGGTGCCTGCGGCTGCTTTGCTGCCTGGGTGCGGCGCCTTCGGCCCGCTCGGCGCCGATGCCCCTCTCGCTGGAGAACCTCGCGAAGGGGCGGCCTCAGCGGAGCCTGCCTCTGCCCCCGCGGCAGCGGCGGCAGCGGCGGTGGCGGCAGGCGGAGCTAAGGCTGCCTCGGAGCAGCCGTCGGCGGAAGTCACGCATCGGTTCTCCGTCTTGGTGGAGGCGGCGCGTCGCGAGGGCAAACCCAAGGAGGCACTCCAGTTGCTGGCCGCCAAGTTGGGTCTGCCGCCCGATGGGGCCCGGAGCAGGGGCTAGGGCCCCAGCGGGCAGGTGGCGCGGGGCGGGCGGCCAGCGCGAGGGTGACGCTCCTCCTCGACGAGTGAGCTGGCGTGGCTCCCCCGCTTGGGCGGCTGCTCCCTGGCCAGTTTTCCTGTGCCCTGAATTCAGTGCGCGGCGCGCTCTCGTCCGCGGGAGCTCGAAGAGTTAGTTATATGTATATGTAAATGATGTATATATATGTATATATATATATAGAATGCCCTCACCGTAAATTGTCGGTTCGCGTGGAGAAGGGGTTGGGTGCGTCTCGGGTAATGTAATGACCGCAGGGGTACCTCTCGACAGTTCGTTTGATCGCAAGCGATGGCAACCCCATCGGTGATCCCCCTTTGCTAGCCTGGGCGCGCACGCGCCATGTGTGAACACACACACACACACACACATATATATATATATATAGATATATGAGTAAACATAGGTACGATCGGTTGATCGCAATTTTAAATGCTGATGTGAATGGAGTGTACGGAAATGGAGGCGATGTCTCGTCACGCATAACTCGTTCGCCATGCTTCCTACGACTCCGCCCCATGGTATCCGACTTTCTCCTCAGGTGTTGCCGCCGCGGGAACGATGATAGCAACGCAGGCTTACGTCTGTGATGGGAGGAATCTTGAGAGGGCGATGAGCAGGATGCGGAGAGGGCGGCGGGGACGACGATGTGTTTCTTCGGCGGCGAACTGGCGAGAGCAAGTGCTTTTCATGGTTATTCGGCAGCGGGCTGTTTTCCCCAATTTGGCTTGCCTAAGGGGTTCCAACTTGGTTAAAATTTGGTGCCTACTAATGCTACGTTGCCCGTGGCTCGGAGATTCCCCAGGTTCCCCGGGTTCCCTGGGTTCCGCGGGTTTTGCGGTTTCCCCGGGCGCCTCATGCCAAGCAGTGCCAAGCTATGCCAAGCAATGCCAAGCACTGAGTCCATGCACTGCGCCCATACAATAGGAAATTTTCCCCTAATCGGGGTCGCGCTGGGCTCATTAGGTAGAGGTGTTTGCGCACGCGTTTTCGTGATTGTGCCAACGCTTCTGAACTGCAGCTGCTTCCGATTGCGTACAACAGCATAGATGTTGCGATACCCCTGAGTAGCGCGTTTGTGCGCTTGATATCGAGCGGCGGCTTTCTCTCCCGAGTGCAAGAACGGACCTGCAAACGGGCGTTCGTACAGACGTAGGTGCGTGTTGCGTCTGGGGTTTGCACCGTCTGCAGTGCCTGAGCCTGGCTGCTTTAGTGTTTTTCTTGTCATCCTCCTTCTGTTTCCTCCCCCTCCTCCCTCGTCCCTCCTCTCTTATCCTCGTCGCCGTTGTCATACTCGTCCTCCCTCCCTCCCTCCCTCTCTTCCCCTCTTGCTCCTGCCCCTTCACGCGCGTCAGCATGATGGCAGCGGGCCGGCGGCAGGCCGTTTCTGGAGCCGTAGTGCCGGGCGCCAGGTACACCCGCACGAGCATCTGCAAGACCGAGGCAGCACCGCGGCTTGTGTTCCTGCCACCCTGAGCAGGAGAAGAAAGTAGGAGGAACAACAGAGGGAGCACGATGATGATGAGGAGAACGAGGTGGGAGGTGAGGGGGATGGCGAGAAGCAGGAGGACAAATGAGTGGGGGAGGGAGGACGAAGGACGGAGGATTGATGATGGAGCAAGGAGGGGGGAGGAGGATGGGCCAGCCTTCGCCGAAGCCTTCGCCGGACAGCGCAGTGAGCCGACATTGTTGCTGCTACGGTCCGCTTCCGTGGGCTCGCCCAGTCCTTGGGCCTTCAGGGGAACTCTGAAGACGTGCATTGGCAGATCAATCAGATGTAAGGCAACACTACCAAGTGTGCATCAGAGACTCAAGCTAAGAAGGGCCATGCGACAGTACACGCACGCGCGACGAGCAGGAATGCACCTTGGGGACGCAACCACGTTTATGACCGCTCATCCACATGCGAAGAAGTGTCGAACGCGCGAACCTGTGAGGGTAAGTATTGATGCTCACCCCATTTTTTTTTATCTGCGGGGCGAGTGCGAACCTCTTCCGCTAAAAACTAGGCGGGCTACGCACAGCTTTAATCAGGGAGACAGGGCACAGGAAGGCGGGGCCCCAGGCGGCCGGAGTGGGCGAAGCTCAGGGGTGCAGGCGGTGCCGAAATGGATGTGCAGGAACAGGTGCGCCGCGGATTGGTACCGGGGGCGAAGTCCCGGAGGGGGAAGGTGAAGGTGTTGCCGTCGACGGCGCATCGCGAACACCAGCCTCAAGCACTGCAGAGGGGGACGTGCCACTTGACCAGGTCGACGCCCAGGAAGAATAGGAACACCACGGAGGCGATGTGCAACGTTGTGCCGCCGGGTGATGCGGAAGAGGCCCAGGGTGGTAGTCCAATCCACGACCAAGTAGCAGCTTGCATGAGGAGCGGCCACATACGAGGGGGCCGTTCATGACCGACAGGATGTCGGTGGACTGCAGGGAGAAAACCCGCCCTGCACCGCCAGCGCGTGAAGACGGGCAGCAGCCACACACGATGCGCTGACATCCGCATTGCCGAAGGCCGGGCCTGAGCCGCACAGCGCCATGGCGAGCGGGGCCGCCGAGGCGGCAAGGTGCAGCGCCCAGCACCAGGCCAAAGCCGCGCAGTGCTGGGCGCTGCCGCCATGGGAGGGGGGAAGCGAGCGGAGGGGGAAGAAGCGAACAGGAAGGAAAAACGCCGGCGCTCGTCGCCAGCCGTCGACGTGCTAGCCCGCACCGTCGGTGCTCACGCGGGGGGACTGGGCCCCAACGGGTACAGGTAGGACACACGGTCCCAAAACACGTGCAAGACAGGTGAGGGGGGAGGAGGGGGAGCAGGTACAGTCGGGGACCAGGTGGACCAGCAAGCGGTCGCTGCGCGTGGACCGCGCTCGTCTCAAGTGCTGTGGGGGAACAGGTAGGGGGGACCAGGAGGACACACGGTCCCACGTCAGGTGAAGAGGGAGGGGGAAGGGGGCACAGGTAGTGGGCGTGGCAAGCGGCGGGTAGGACCTTGACCTTGCCGTTAGTAGTGGGAGCGGTGCTCACCCTTAAGAATTTGTCCCTACCTAGGCTCTGCCTAGAAGGTCTCTTACCCCCTTAGCTTACAGGGGCCGGGCAGTGTTCCCCGCCCCGGGCGGTTCCCCCGGCATCCGCCCCGCGGTTCCCCCAGCTACGTCCCTTTAGCTTAGCGTTGCTAATCTCATCTTACCTTAGCTTATTCTCTTGCACAGGGTGTCTAGAGCTCCGACCACTTTATTTCGGCACCGCACCCCCCCCCCATCATAATCACCATCATCATCATCATCATCATCATCATCATCATCATCATCATCATCATCATCATCATCATCATCATCATCATCCACATCATCATCATGCGCCCCCTCCGTCTCAGCGCCCTCCCGCGGCTCCAGCGCCCGCCCAGTGCCCCCTCCGCCCCGACCACTTTATTTCGGCACCGCACCCCCCCCCCGCTCCGCCCCCTCCCCCGCGCCGTCTCAGCGCCCCCCCCGGCTCCAGCGCCCGCCCAGTGCCCCCTCCGCCTCGACCACTTTATTTCGGCACCGCACCCCCCCCCGCTCCGCCCCCTCCCCCGCGCCGTCTCAGCGCCCCCCCGCGGCTCCAGCGCCCGCCCAGTGCCTCCTCCGCCCCGACCACTTTATTTCGGCACCGCACCCCCCCTCCCCGCTCCGCCCCCTCCCCCGCGCCGTCTCAGCGCCCCCGCGCGGCTCCAGCGCCCGCCCAGTGCCCCCTCCGCCACGACCACTTTATTTCGGCACCGCACCCCCCCTCCCCGCTCCGCCCCCTCCCCCGCGCCGTCTCAGCGCCCCCGCGCGGCTCCAGCGCCCGCCCAGTGCCCCCTCCGCCCGACCACTTTATTTCGGCAGCCGCAGCGCCCGCCTCCGCTTTATTTCGGCACCGCACCCCCCCCCGCTCCGCCCCCTCCCCCGCGCCGTCTCAGCGCCCCCCCGCGGCTCCAGCGCCCGCCCAGCGCCCCCTCCGCCTCGACCACTTTATTTCGGCACCGCACCCCCCCCCCCGCTCCGCCCCCTCCCCCGCGCCGTCTCAGCGCCCCCCCGCGGCTCCAGCGCCCGCCCAGTGCCCCCTCCGCCCCGACCACTTTATTTCGGCACCGCACCCCCCCCCGCTCCGCCCCCTCCCCCGCGCCGTCTCAGCGCCCCCCCGCGGCTCCAGCGCCCGCCCAGTGCCCCCTCCGCCCCGACCACTTTATTTCGGCACCGCACCCCCCCCCCGCTCCGCCCCCTCCCCCGCGCCGTCTCAGCGCCCCCGCGGCTCCAGCGCCCGCCCAGTGCCCCCTCCGCCTCGACCACTTTATTTCGGCACCGCACCCCTCCCCGCTCCGCCCCCTCCCCCGCGCCGTCTCAGCGCCCCCCCGCGGCTCCGGCGCCCGCCCAGTGCCCCCTCCGCCCCGACCACTTGATTCTCTTGCACAGGGTGTCTAGAGCTCCGACCATTTTATTTCGCGTCGACCCCCCCCCCCCGCGCCCTCAGCGCCAGAGTGGGACCCCCGCGCCGTGGCTCTCTGCCCCAAGCCCCCACCGCGTCCCCAGCGCCCCAGCGGTGGCCCCGCCCGCTGCCCCCTCCGCCACGGACGCTTCATCCCGCGTCGCCCCTCCCCCCCCCTCCGCGTCCCCAGCGCCAGTGTGGGGCCCCCGCGCCGTGGCTCTCTACCCCGAGCCCACCGCGCCCCCAGCGCCCCAGCGGGGGCTCCGCCCACTGCCCCCGCCGCCACGAACGCTTTATCCCGCGTCGCACCCCGCCCCCCCCCCGCGTCCCCAGCGCCAGCGTGGGACCCCCGCGCCGTGGCTCTCTGCCCCAAGCCCCCCTGCGTCCCCAGCGCCACAGCGGGGCCCCCGCCCACTGCCCCCTCCGACACGAACGCTCTATTACGCGTCGCACCCTCCCCCCCCTCCGCGTCCCCAGCGCCAGAGTGGGACCCCCGCGCCGTGGTTCTCTGCCCCGAGCCCCCCCGCGTC